AGTCTTTTTTCCACTCTCCACCTCAGCTGGCAAAAAACCCCTTTTCATTTGCAGAAATGGCTCTCTACCCACTAGCCCACTGATGGGTAAGTGGAAGGTTATCCTTCACTGTGAGCCAGCCACTAGATGAGAGAGAATGGTTTGATAGTCAGATTCAAAGCTTCATCAGCCTGGCCTTTGGGCTCAGTCTGCATTGCAACGCCTAATGGTCGCCGAACACTTTTTTCCCAGTCCTGGGAAAAAAAGATTATTTAACCCTTCATTTTATAATCTCCAACCTATTTTATACTTTTACCATTCTCTTTCTCTATGCCCTAATAATATTCAAACTTTGTCAGGCTTCAGCAGAGAGCAACAGTCACAGGAGTCTCCAGCACCCTGCTCCTGATCTACCCAGAGAGGGAACAAACAGTGCTCAGCCCCTGAAGCCCTGGTACATAACATGCTACAGGTTAAACTACACTTGGAGACCCTTTAGGCATTTTGATACCTAACCCTAATCCCTCTCCAGCAGAGCATTATTTTTTCAAGTGTTACAATATAGCCAGACCTTGCTATTCACCCATTCGAGCTTCAAATGCAGAAGCCAATAAAATAGCATCAATAACGTTTATGTACATATGTGCTTGCTATCCAGAAAAAAAAAAAAGAAAAAAAAAAGAAAAAAACACCAGCAAAAAAAGAAAACTCTAATCACTGCAAGAAAATGAACCTGAATAAACCAAATGGATTACTTTTATTTAAGTAACTGTGCATAGTAGCACAAGTAATTGCAGGTCCATTTCATACCATGGTCCCTCTGTAGGAAGCCCAGCCTGTCTCCTGGATAACCTAAGCTATCCAAGAACTAAGAGTAACACATACTTACATACTGCAGTTCACTATAAAATGAGAGGTGCCTCATTTTAAATTTATAGTCTTGTGCTAGTTTTTCAGTTACCTTTGGTTTAACACCTTCAGGTGATCTGCTGGATGCTGTGTTATATGCCCAATGCCCCAAGTGAAGCAGTAAGTTGGAAATTCATCATGAGAAATTCAAACCTTCTAGTGTGACCAGATTGCATTGAGTTCACAAATGAAAAACTGCAATTCCTTTTATTTTGCCCATTTTGTGTAAAATCACAGGAACACAGAGTTCATGGTTTGTGTTTACGGCATGCAAAGATCCCCAGCTGAGGCTGTCTTGACAAAACCAGCTGACCACAGGAACTGTGCCAAGACAGTGACAAATGGCTGAGTGTTTGGACGAACAGCTATCAGTCAACCAGAGCTCAAGGGGACTAATCAAGCCCTATGAAACTGCCACCAGCTGGAGTCCCCAGCAGAGAAAGCCATGCCTTCTACTTCCCACCTCCATGGCCTTGAGCACCACTGTGCAAAGGGAGCTCCTCAGGGAGCTCCGTGGGTGTCACGCAGCAGGAACCTGCCCACACCACTTTGCAGGTCCCACCCCAGCATGCTGCATGCCCAGGAAGTCTGCAAGGAAACAGCTTAGTGAATCCCTAGCCTAAAGGAGAAGGGAAGAAGAACAGGAAAGAGGTGAGCAGCAGAGTGGTTGGCATCTGCTCCATGACTTTTCATGCATAGGTGAACTGTGTTTAAAGCTGTATTTCAAATAGAGCCAGATTACTGGAATGGCTTATGGATTCCAGCGCAACATGTACAAGCACATGAAGGAACCTGCAATGGTAACTGCTTTCGGGGAAGGCAGAGGGGCCACTGAGATCCCCAGCACAACCAGAAGCCTTATGCTTCTAAGGCTAGGGCTCTTAAGCTCTTAACCCTCCAGGCCTGAGCAACCAGAACCAGCCATTACATGCAAATCTCAGTTCCTGTTTGTAGCCTCAGGAAGGAGGCTGATTCAAAAACAAAACAAATTTTAAAAATCCTGTAAGACAATTTAACATTATCAACGAGTCAATACTTCAATATTTTTTTCCCTTTCCCTAAAATGAGCATGTTTTCCCTAAAAAAATCCAGGAATTAAATAAACAAACAAAGCCACCCCAAAGCATAGTTATTTTCACAGTTATAAAGTATAAAACAAACATGTGGAATTCTATCCCATAATGAAATCATGTAGTAGGCTTTCAGAGGAAACAAATAAAACTACAGCTATGGAAAGAAGTTAATGTTTTCCAAGTACATTAAACACATTTCTGGACAAGTTTGGTTATGCATGCCTTCTCCTACAGTAAGGCTGCAGTCAAGCAGAACAAAAATAACATGTTTTCCTCTTCTTTTGTATTGAAGACTGTTAAAAATACTTTCTTTTCCCATACTAGCATTTGATTTCTTTCCAACTCCTCAGAAATTGTTGTTAAAAAACCGAAGACTCCATTATCAGTATAGCTACCATTAACTTCTTTTTCTACCAAGTAATTAAATCAAGGGCAGATTTGCTGAGCATACACTCAAGGACTTTCTACATATAATCACACTGTGTATAACTTTTAATAGTTTTGTTGGGTTTGTGATTGTTTGAGTTTTTAAAAAATAAATAATTTATTACCTCCATTTCTTTGGGTAAATAGGGATAATTTACAGGAGTAAATAGACTCATGTTTTTTCTAGGAGGAGACTACTGTACTAAGTTTTCTCAGTTTATTACAGTCTTGATTGAAAATGTTGGCCTCTCAAAAATCATATATATTACAGAATCTGTGGGAATGCTATTTACAAAAGGATAGTGCCTCCAGCCCACTTTCATTGTCTGAGTGACCACCCGTGACAAAGAAGGAGGAAACAGTAGTATTAAAGATATGGCCAAGTCTTGTGGTCCATTCAATAACAGTTTCATTTTATGGTGATCTGTTCCTTGACTTAAAAGATACAAAATAAATGACACAGGACTGGAAAGAGGTATAACAAAGTAAGGGTGCTTTTGCAACAAAGTATATCCCTAAGACAACTGATACAAATGCTCTTCAGTGTGCATCAGCCCATTTAGTTAAGAATTATTTACACACCTCAAAGCCATATCTAACATCAGTGCATCTTAACAACAACTAAATTATTCAGCCAGATTTTCCAAATAAAAAAATTAGGCTTAACTCACTATGTATGAAAACCAGGTCCTGCTTTCACCTTCTGCAGACGAAATGCTTCATCTTTTCTACATTCCCAAAAATAAACTAGATGTCTGCCTATTAATAAAAAATTCAGTTCTTCTGTTTTGCTGGAAAATCCCAAGAGGTATTGACCACAATACAAAATTCTGGGCATTACTAAATTACTAAGATAAACTTAATTTTGAGCAGTGTGTGCAGGTCACAATTTTCTCCTTATTTGCAGTTATTTCCTCACAAAATTTTCCTGACATATTCATGTAAGTTATATAGAAAGTAAATGTGGAAGCCAAAACCAATATGATGAAACTTCACATCATTTGGAAAAATAAAAGCCAAAAAAGATTCTATCCCTAGCAATTAAACCATAAATATAGAACAAGCATGAAATCCTTAGATGATTAAACCTTACAGCTTATGGTATAAAAATACTTCCAAGTTGAGATACAAAGAATAAAAGACTTGTTGCAGCATAGCCTTCCTCAGAACAAGAATGAAGGTTAATATCCATGTTGAAAGTTGGTGCATGTGTGTAGGTACACCCACCCTCCAAAGCAGTAGCTGTAAATTTTCAAACCATTGCTCTTTAAGAAGGGCAGTAATGTCATTATAATAGAGACTCTTCACACCAAGATTAAAATCAAGATGAATAAAATTAAAGATTTAGCTTTCTTAGATTTGTTTCACACCTATGATATTTTCAAGCACAGCAAAATTATTTATCTGCCATGTTAGTAACCAATAGGTCTAGCAAAGCATTCTAAGAATGTTATCAAAAATTGCACTAATACAGCTTAAATCATTCTAATTATTGTCTTAGGTTTTCCAGAAAAAACAAACAAACAAACAAAAAACAACCTATAGGCAGAAAATCTTCATAGAAAATTAGTCCATAAAAACAAAAAACAGAGGCATTTTGAAGTTATACCACAAAGAGGCATAACACATACTGCCAGTCCATAATTTACCAGAACCAGTACAGAACAGAGAAAAGAGAAAACATCCTTCCATAGTAAAATATAATGATACCTCTTCTTCATTTAATAGCCCTTAATGCTGGAATTTACCCACAAATAAGCCTTCAGGGTAGACCACATACAGTATGACACCTCTATTTGTTTATTTAGAATGTACTTCAAAGCATTTTAGTTTCAATGAAGGTAGGTACAAGGGAAAAAGGCTGGAAAAACCAAACCACAAGTAATTGTGAATAATCTTTCCTCTTCTAACGGGCACACAATTGGAATCTAGCTTTTTATTTCACTTTTAAAAGCCAGTAAGTAAATAAACTAGATCTGTTCCTACGTCTAGAAATCAAGTATCTACCTATCTACAGTAGTCATTGTCTCTTAGAAGAGAATCTAATATATGCAGTTGAATAAATTTTTTTAAATCCCTACACCACTACAAGAGGTTAGATGCTTAATTAGTGCATAAAATTGAGTTAATAAGTGATTTTTAAACCTTCCCTCACTTCATTTAGCTTTTCATTATAACACAACCCTGGTAAATCCATATTGCAAAGTGTTTTCATGGGAAATCCAGCTGTTTTAAACTCTGGATTCAGACCACACATGAATGTCAAAGACAGACTGGAAGAGATGGCTGGGAGAGGAAATATGCCTTTCATACTCCAGGTAAGGCAAGCAGTGTGAGCAGCTGCAGTATCTGCTGCAGAAAAGCCATGCGCCACAATAAGCCACCCATCCTTATTTCAGTTCTTCTGCCTGGGACCTACGTACACTCATGCAGCTGCACTGGGGACAACATTCTGTTCTGGCCATCTCACAGTGGCACTAAGCACTAAGTGACCCAATTATACTTTAAAAGAGGGGGATATCCACATCAAACATTTGTTCTGTATATACATATTACATAGATTTTTACCCAAAGAGTCTTAAAGCATGCACAGCTTCAGGCATCCCAACAGTTCTTGCTTTTAAGACTGAAGAAGCAGAACAGTCTGCCATCACAGGGTAATAGAGATTATTTGACCAAAATAACCATACTCTTTACATAGTAATAGCCTTTACATGGGAGACTGGGGGTTAGAAGGATTATCCCAGCCTTTCAGCAACATGTTCAGCAGCAAAGACTGCTTATCTGAAAACTTAATCTTGAAATGAGATAACCTAAAGGTAACTAAATTCTAGAAGAGTTTATTGGTGGAAAAGCAATACTGACCATCAATTTCAGTGCTGTTCAGATCTTGTGTTTTTAGCATCCTTTATTCCAATTTCTGATGTAAATATTTTGGTCACGTTTGCAAAGGACCTAACCAGATTGTATGAATAACACCTCAAACTTCAAGGGTATAAATCTGGCGTTGCCAACTTCACAAATGTTTTTTTTACATACATACAATAACACCATGGAGGTAAGACATTGTAAGATCCAATGTGTTATTTCAAAGAGAATGAAAGTATTATTGCTAGACCTGAGACACGGGATTAGTACAAGTACGGAGATAGCATCTACTGCATGCAGAATGAGTGAGAGCAGAAAAACTAGTGGGAAAAAAGAGAGACCTGCTCCATACACTGCTAAAATACTGTGAAATAGAGATGAGAACAAGACACAAAATGCGTTCACATTTTTTGCAGTTTTCAGTGCTCATGTCAGAGATCTTTATGATGTTTCTTTTTAAAAATCATTTATAAAATACCATCTTGAGCCAGTGAGTTGAGGGCAGTAAACAGCATGCTGCTTCACTTCCTGCACCCTGACAATCAAAGCGTTCAGGAACTCTATGGCTTCCTCTATTGCCTGCCTCAGCTTTAAGCAGACCACAGAACAAAAGAAAACCATCTCACAAAAAGGGCTATCACTACTCTATTTTCCAAATAAAGCCTTTGGGAGGTAAATAACAATGTTGCATGGATTTAAAATAAAAACTGCAGAATGAAAGCCAAAGTTTACCTTCCCCAGCTTGGTAGTGTCTTACACTAACAACACTGAGGAGTGGAAGTGAACACTGTGTCAAAGTGAAAGCCGATCACTGCAGTGCCCTGCTATCAACATTTCCCATAAATATATGGTTTACATAGAATAGATAATTTATGCCTTCAAATTTTCAAAACCAAGTAAGTAAGCATTCACCACTGAAATTTATGAAGACAAGCAACTAAAATACTCTGAAATCTTAGTTATGAAATTAATCACCATACCAAAACTGAAATACAAAAAAGACCTCATATTCTATTAGCAATAAACCGCATCACGGAACTTTTGTATGACACATAATATAAAACAAGAACCATCATGTCAATTCTCCTGCCAAGTAAAGCTGTAATATTTAAGCAGAATTGTAATCATCCACATGACAGATTCAGGAAGGGATGTAGAAAAATAACCAAAGCTCTAAGGATTAAAGCATATTTCTAAAACATGCTTTTAAAGGGAAATTCAGCTTTTTTACTATGTTTGATTAGTATCATACTATGGATAGTCTAGAAACTATCTGTTCTACATCTACTGGTTTTAAAAACACCTTAAAGTAAAACAGGGATTATTCACACAAATCCCACACTACCCTCTATGCTTGCAGATTAATATAAATCTCTACCTCCTATACGGTAACATAAATAAACAAATACATATATATGTCACTTTTGAGAATGTTGCTGAGAGTGTCAGAAAAGCACTGAGTCCCCGTATAATGCTCCCTATGTGAGACATCCTCTTTTCTGATAGCAAACTTCGAACTGTTATCGTCCACCTGAGTTAAAAGACTACTGATCTACATTGAAACATTTCATTTGCCAATGCAGCATGACAATGGCTTACCAAAAAAAAAATAATTCACAAATTGCAGATAATGCCTCTTATGAGTACAGGCATGTTAAAAAAAACCCTCAAACACTAGCTTTTTAAAACAATCCACTCCTCATATCTCAAATGCATGTCTAAAGTAATTTTTTGCCTGTAGATATTAACCAGACAAATAAAAGAGAGCTTTTATAATTGTTGCCTCCAATTAACACAGTACATTTTGCATATCAAAGCTACAGTTATCAAAGATTTCACTCTTTTCAACAGGACTGATGCCATTGTACCTCATATTTCATCTTCTTTCTTTAAAGCAAAAGAAATTTAAGCTGTTTCTTAAGGAGGAGGAAAATAGCAGACTGTAGACAGAAGAGAGTATAGAGTCAACAAAAGGCTGTGAATCTAATGTTCTCATTTTATTTCTGACATTGTCACTATTGACATTTTGTGAACTGGTCACTTTCCTCCTCCTCAAATTGAACACAGATCACGACAGAAATAATTGCCAAAGCATACTTTTCAAGACTTTGGAAAAGCAGGGTGGGTACACTCAAGAACTTGTTCTACAGGACTGAATGGCCCAATGCTGCAGGCAGGGGTGACTGCCATTTGTTGCCAAAGGGGAAAGAAGGAAAGAGAACATCTTAATCATGCCTGTGAGAGTATTAATGAGTACCGATGCCATGGAAAGCTAACTCAGTTTTTAAAGAAAGCAGAAATTCCACACAAAATTCAGCGCTGGATTGTTGAGAAACAGCCTGAGATGACTGAAGTTTCCTTTGTGCATGGGCACAGCTGAGTAGCAGATCAAGGCCTGCCACTGTTACCTGCTGTTTTCCACTGTGGGCAATACTCAATCTGCTTCTAAACACAATAGAGGACTGTGTACCATTCAAGCTTGGGAAGAAAAAGTCTCATCACTGGCAATAAAAAAAACCCTAATCCATATGTTTTGCAAGAAAACATTTCAGATCTCAGAATAAAATCTATCTTGTAAATTGTGTTAATGAACAAAAAACTCTTCAGAATTACTATGAATTATCTTTCTGAACTCAGATATTTCTTTTAGAAGTTTAAGCTTAAAACTTCACAGAATTACTTTCTATGCACTCTTGTTTCATGTATTTTATAATCCACATCTTGCCACAAGCTTTTGAAATACATTCCATTAAGCATGACATGAAATTTCTGTTACAAAACCTACGGCTTCAAAAGGTCCCCAAAGGGATTTGGAACACAGTGCTGACAAATCTGCAGCTAACCACAGAACACTATTGAAGAAGATAAAATGGTAAATTAATCAAATCACAATAATCCTTTCTTTAAAGAAAAAGGAAGGACACAGCAGCAATCTGGAAACTGAAAGTTATGTTATGAAGGGAACTTCAAGCTGTAAGGATAGAAAAAAGTGTTTATTTTAGAGGCTATAATTCTATAATGCAATTTATACTCCAGGACTGTTCAAAATGACGCAAGTTCAAGAGATCCTCAAGTCTCACAAAACTAGTTGAAGGAATTACACAAAGTTCCACTTCATGATCTTCAGAAAAGAATTTGAAAATGTGATGTAAAAATCTTGCATCTCAGAATCAAAACGTAAAAAACATGATAAAATTGAAATACCTCCTGACACTTAGATCATAATTACTTGTTTCTACATATTCAGATTAACAAAACTGAAGATACCCATGAAAGAAGTTTACTTGCCCTGTGAGGGGACTAAGGGAGAAGAACACTTCCAGAAAATTTACAACTTTTTACGTGGGCATGTAGTGATAGGAAAAGGGGTAATGACTTAAGCTAAGAGAGAAGAAATTTAGTTTAGATATTAGGCAGAAAATCTTTACTATGAGGATAGTGAGGCAGTAGAATGGGTTGCCCACAGAAGCTCTGGATGCCCCATCCCTGTAAGTGTTCAAGATGACACAGCATAGTGCTTTGAGCAGCATAGTCTAGTGGAAGATATTTCTGCTCATAGTAGTGAGTCTGGAACTAGGTGATCTTTAAGGCCCCTCCCAACTCAACCCATTATGTGATAATTTGTAGGTCTAGAAGAAAAAGCAAACACATTGTGGAAATCCAGTCTAGGAACATCTACATTTTGTAAACAATTGCCAGAGATGAACAGCTTACTGCCATTCTTTCCTCTCTTCCTCCCCTATTTATGACTAACAGAAATATTTGTATTTTAAGCTTACCAAAGCACACCTCTTTCCTCCCTTTTCAGCTTGTTCAACAGACTTCAAAACATTTAGTATCAAAAGAATTTGTTATCAATAAGATCAAACTGTTCTCCAGGACCTATAGTAGCACTGACTGTAGATCTGTAGATTTTGCACAAGTCTTCCTCCTCCTGCACAAAGAGAATAGGCTAATAAAAAAGGGCAACAATGCTACCCAAACTGGATAGATATTTTTCCAATTTCTGCACATACTTGGACGTCCCCACTTTAAAAGAAGAAAGTAATTCCTCCATAGAGTGAAGAAAAAAAATAGAGTAAACATACTACAGAACATGTCCTAGCTTGCAAACCATTTGTTCTTTCTGGTTTTCCATCAGTATTTAAACAATGTATGTTTCAAACCAGCAAAATCTAAACATTTACATCCTTACATCCCTGTTAGGCAATTTTTTCACCACCCTACAAGATATACATACACCCTATGACCATGCTGCACCACACCAGAAGGAGACCACTCCAAAAAGCATTAACTTTAAATAAATGCTCCTGCATCTTCCCTCCACTGCAAACCCAGTGGCAGCTATTTCCTGGTCATTTTCTTCCTTCCAACACATTAATTAATTTAAGCCCCCAAAGAGCCAAAAAGCAACCTCCCAGTCAGGATTCAACAACTTTGGAGCCAAGTTCTGGCTGGACAGCCATGTCCCTGGCAGCACAGATACCTCCCTAGACCAGAGAAGGCAGAGCATTCCTCCACCATCACAGGCTGGGGTGATTATATTGGGCCAGCTTTTAGACAAACACCTGCGAAGCCTTCTGCCATGAGGCCACCAAAGTAAAGTGAGTATGAGCCACGCAAACCAAACTGGAGTTTGGGGGAGTAAAATGGAATGGATTATATCGAGATATCGTAAAGTCTGATAATGAACTGCTTGCTCTTAAATGAAGTACTACTTTGGTTTTGTTGGGAAACAGAGCAGGGGGTTATTTTAGG